ACTAGGGGGACATTCTGAGCTTCCGATTGGTTATTCATGTCATATATAGAAGTAAGTGTATATAAGGGAGTGTTTCAAAAAATGAAAAGAGATATGCGGGGTGCCACTGTGTTTGATTTATTACGTGAGCATTATCTTAGAAAATAGAAAAGATAAGACTTTCTTATTTTATATTTTAGCTTGTCTATGTCTGTAATTTGAGTTTCTAATTCATATAGTTCTAAAATTTTAATTATAATCTACAATTTGATACCAAAGTTATTGACATAAATTCATGAAATAGTAGTTTAATAAAATTTTTAATACGAGTCAACATATGAGATGACATGGCCTTTCACCTGTGGCCTGTCTCAAAAGGGTTATTTGAGTAAAGTAGCCTAAGAATTAGCAATAGGTGCTTTTATGTAGCTGCCTTCTCTGTAATCTGTCAGTTCAAAAATAGGGACAGTTAACACAGATATCCCTTGTGAATCAATTAATTGGAAACTATATTCTTTTTCTATAGCTTTGGAAAACTAATTTTCTTTCATTATATATTACTTGCATATTGGTACATGTGGCGACAATAACAGGTTATCAGGCTGTGTTGGGGCTGGGTGTGGTCTAGTGGTTCATTGTGCCATACTGTGAACCAGAGATTCCATGATTCAATCTCGTTGGCATAGAATTGCACTCTGCACTTCATGGCTGTGAGTAGAGTTGGGGGATTATCTGAATTTTATATTTGATTAATCATAGGGCTTATCAATCAGTTACATTCAACTAATCGGTTATTCTCACAGGACAGTTGGAATAATTGAAAATAATAACTACAAAAATAACCAACTTATAAAAATTAGTTTTCCTGGCTATTATTATTATTGTTTTAGTAATCAGTTAAGCTGAACAGTCTTAAATTAATATAAAATAATGAGAAATCATAATTGCAATATTTCAATTACTTGGATAATTGTTGAAATAATCAGAAATATTAATTTTGATTATTTGGCTATTGTTATGACAGTTTATTAGTTATTTTGATGAATTGGTTATCTTACGTGTTACGAACTGATGTTTATAGATAATCAGTTATATCGATTATTCAAGATAATTGCCCATGTTTAGCTGTAAATGCATTATAAGAGTGATGATCAAATCCTAATATTCAGTTAGTTACCCAAGAGTTGGCAGTGGATATATTGACTAGCTACCTTCCCTCTAGCTTATCAGTTTCAAATTAAGGATGGTTAATGTAGATAGCCTTTGTGTTGCTCTGAAACAAAAAGACAAACCTAGATTATTGTGTTTCCCATATTTACACTGTTCCATTTCCTCATGATTTTGGACAGGATGTTGGCATTTTCTCAAGTTAGTTCTCTCCATTCAGGAACTTACTTTGATAGCTAAAGTCAATTGTTTGTCTGAACATCTGATTCAAAATATGGAAAATATAGTGAAAGTGACTAGAAAGTAATGAATTTGAACCTGTTGGAAAGAAATTATGAAAATATAGGAGTAAAAGCTCTTGGAATAAAATGGAAAAATTTCAGAAAGTTTAATTATTTCCAAAGAGGAGGCAGTAGTGCATTTAGCTGTTGTAAACTAGGTTTAAAAGCATTTGAGATTAGTGAAAGAACATTGTCTTTTTGGAAAACTGACATTAAAAACACATTTAGAAAGGTTAATAACCTAAAATGTTCTATGATATATAGTTTTAAACTTTGCCATTTTATCAAATTCCTTAAAACATCAAAATAAAATTTATAAATTTGTCTATAGTTTTTGTTTTTAAGTATGTGTACACTCAGAACCTCATGTAAGGGTGGAAATAAAATCAAAAATGGGCAATTCAGACTGCTTATTCATCATTTGACACAGAGAATAAGAACTTATTAACTTATTTAAATATTTAGTTTTGAAATTAAGAAGTTAAAACTTAGATAATATAAAAATCCAAACCACATTTGGATGCTAACTAAGTTTTTTGATGTACACTGATAATAAAGTTGTTTAGTTATATTTTGAATATATATGTAAAAAGGTTGTGACATGCACACTCTGACCCACCCATATGCATTGGATTAAAGACTTCTGGGGAACAGTTTATATTACTAGTTGAATTATTTTTCAATTTAAAAGTGAAGTGAAGAGTATTATTTTGTACAATGATTAGGCATTTAATATTGTTTTTAGTTTAATATCTTACTATTAAGCAATATATTTTGTTAATTTTATTTGATATTAAGTATTCTGTCACTTTTCAAATCAGATACTTCTTTTCAGTTACCAGTATTTGAATAATTAAAACTAATTATTTTGATTAATACTTGAATATCAAACATTATTCCTTTTTAAAATAAACCTTAAAACATTTATGAAATGATAGAAAGTTTAAGTTATTTGCTGTGGGTAATGTGTTGTTGTTAATGTTATAATTTTATTAAATTACTGGTAATATTACATGTCTGTGAAATTTGATTGTGTGTGTATATTGTTGAATTGAGGGCATTTCTTTATAAAGTATGGGTCAGAAATGTAATCTTTGAGGATTGAAAGCTATGCATTTCTTTTATGTTAGTGGTATTTTTGAATTATGCTCAAGTTTCTCTACTTATGTAAGGATCTTGAAAAGAAGTCTTGTGTATATGAAATTATTGTATAGAAACATTATTTAAATGTTTCATCTTATCTTTGATTTTAAAAGCTTCTCTGCTTTTCTCTTTATTAGTGGTTTAGCTCTCTGGATGACAATGGTAGACCATATTACTATGAAGACAATGGAATGGTTTCTTTTTGGCAGTTACCTGATTTCACTAAAGCTGAGGTAAGCAAACTAACTGGTAATATACTAGTCTTTACATTTGACATAAGTTGTATATTTTACTTTTGCATTCTTTTCAAACTAAGTGTGGCCTATTGACATCTAAGGTTGTACTTGAAACAGTGCAATTTTTAAAATAGGCCTTTCAAGGAAACAAAATGAGAGGAAAGAAGAAAATCATATGTTGATACCTTGAAAAGTCTTTCTCCCAGCGAAAAGAGCATTACTACAAGAATAGAGATAAGGTTAGAAACAGTAATGCTGAATATGCAACACAAGCCTTGGCCATTAATTCAGCCAAATAAAAGGCTGCCAGCCTGGCTAGATGCAAAAAAAACTATAGCAAAGATGGCAGCAAAAGCCAGGAAATGTCAAGAGATAGCTCTAATAAAAGCTACAAGAAGGTTTTGTCTAGAGCCCAGTCACTTTCAAAACTTAGCACCAAGAAAAGCTATGAGAGGGATAGACTTCGAGCATAGTTATTCTTGAGACCTAGTACCATAAAAAAGCTATGAGACAAGTATAAAAAAAGTAGGAATGGGAGCACCAAAAAGTAAGGAAACAAATTCAAATTAAAACATGAAGTAGGAATGGGTGGAACAATGACCACACCTACTTTGAAGTTGCACTGTGTCAAAAATCACCAAGTGTTGTAATGTTATCCCACCCATTCCTACCTTGTTTTCTTACTTCCTGGTGCTCCCAATTCTATTTCCTAATTTTTTTATTTAAGAATGTTTTATACTGCTCAAAAAAAGTAAGTCTGAAAACCATAAGTACAGTGAGATCAAATAGATTTCTCTTTTGTTAGTTTTACATATGATGTTCAAAAACATGCATTATCACAGAAAAGAGTTAGCATTGCCATTTAGTCCTGACGAAGGAAAGTCCACTTTCTAAAAATGCTCATTTTTGAGTTTCTTTTCTGATGCTAATTAGTTTTACATATATAGTGCCTAAGTATTAGCTCTAGTTGTGTAGGCATTTTCTCTGGACCATACAGAAAATATAAATCATTCATTGATAAGTTTTAGTAATGACATTAGTTGTATTTTGTTTCATTTGACTAAAATTGCTTGAAAGAAAAAAATTACCCTTTTGTAGTGATGATTTATTGTAACTGTGTGTTATCTCAGATTAAGTAAAAAAATTAGAAATCAACTTTAGGAGTTTTTGTGAAATTTTATTTAATCAGTAGTTGTGAAAATAAGAATATCCGACAAAATCAGTAAAATTGTGAATAAAAAAAAAAATTCTAGCTTTGAAATTGGACATAAGAATGAGAAATGGTGAACTTGTAGACTGTTTTAACAGTTTAGTTATAGAGAATAATTTAAGCTATTCATGCTCCTGAGTAAGAATCTTGGTAACTTGATCATATGCTTAGTACTAACTGAAAATGTTGATAAACTTGCATGTTTAAATATGAAATACTTGAATTGATAGTGCTCGGCATTGATTAAGAGAGTTTCTTATTGGTAGATTTCTTCAAATCTGGATATAAAATATGTTTCATCTGTACCTGTAATTGACTAGGGGTGTTGAAAAATTGTGATTAGTTGTTCTCCATATTAACTAGAAAGTGAATATATTTTTCAGTAATCAGAAAATTTCATAAGGAATAATTTAGTTTTTGTTTATTTATGGAACATAACATTAGTACATTTAAAGTTTTAGAATTCATAGGTTAATTAATGTAATGAATTTTGTCATATTGAGACTTAAAAGCTAGAAACAAGAACTTGGTACAGTTGTGTGGAAAATCTTAATAGATATGTGTAAAATTGCTTATAATTAATGTTTTTGCTGATTGCATAGGAAGTAAAATTGAAGTGGCGAGTTGTAATCTAAGCTTATCAATGGAAATCATTTATAATACTTATCACTGATCATATTAAAAAAGGGATACGTATCATGAAAATTAGCTCCTTTTATTTTATTCTGAACATTTTATTGAAATGTAGTGTTTGTTTAGCCAGTGATTTGCACTTTGGTAGAACTAATTTCTGTTGATTAAACAAGATAATATTGGTGTGAACACTTGTAATTTGAAGGGAACTTCATTAAACTTAAATTTTATTTTATTGTTTTGCTTTAATGATTATACATTAATTTAACATGTTTGTAATAGGGTTGTGTATGTATGTATGTATATGTGTGTGTGTGTGAATATTTTTTTCATTTCTCATTAATTTACATTGTTTACTTTATGCAAAATAAATTATTTTTATAGCTGTAAGTCAACAATTTATAAATTGAGATTAGTTTTAAATACAAGGAGGCAATATCTTCCATGATTCAGAAGATAATAACATTATAAATGTTTAACTGTCAGTAGCACCTCTGTAGGCCATTTTTGTAGACCTGAAGACTATATTAGTAATATTAAATGTAAGATCTCGTGCTGGTGTACATCATACTGTAAACATGCATGATTACTTCCATATTTATTCAGTCTTATAGTTTCTTCTATAGTATTTCTTGAACTGCAATATGTTTGTGTTTAACCACTCTGCAGTTATTTTGCGAGTTAAAAACTCATAATGAGATTTCTGATACTGCAGAGTTACCTACATGTACATTTGTTATCTACTCCCTATCCTTCATGACATTTTCTGAAAAGTTGTCATATGGAACATAATACAAGTTTAACACAGCTTAATAATGTTGAGAAAAGATATTACATGTCTTGACTTTAACCCATGTAAAGTCTTTAATTTATGGCAGGGCTACAAACCTTCTTACTTTTTTTCAATGCTAAAGATGTTCAGATAGCTAAAAATATTTTTCTTGTTATTTTCCATATGTTTCAAGAAGCTATTTCTATTTAGACATTTTTAAAATAAAAAAGGCACATTTTTATACTATTATTATTATTATTATAATAAAATTATAAATCTATACCAGTGTGATATTATCTTAGGGAAATATCCAGTAGAATGTTGAACAAATAAAAAATATTTAGTTCTACACTTGAACACTTCATTATTAGCTTCCATACAGTCTATTGAAATGGAGACTTTGTTACAACACAATCAGTTTAGGTGTGGGAAAGCAGAGTATAAAATTCAAACTCTATAACAGCAAATACTTGAAATGTTCTTATTACTTGCCATAAATTTTTCTACCAGTTAGTAATTAGCACATACTTTTTGACCTCTGTTTAAAGATTTTTAGTGTAATAGGATTTCATAGGCAAAAGTTGATTAAGGTTGAAATGCTCAAATGTCATATAGACATTGACTGAGTTTAAACCATATTTCATAGACAGAAGTTGATTATTTTTAAGTGCCCATATTTCATAGATGGAAGTTTACTAAATTTAAAATGTCTATATTTCGTAGGCAGATGTTGATTAAGTTTAAAATGCCCATATAATTCTGCAAGATTAATGAAAACTGTTTTAACCAACTAAGGGCAAGGAAATCAAGAATATTGGAAATAAGCCATATCTTTCTCCTTGTGACCTGGATGAAACTGATAGTTTTTTTAAACCACTGGAAACAATGTCTCTGCCATCTCCTGTGCTTGACAACACTTCTCCACATGAAATGAAGTTTCCAGCTGAAAGTTTTTTTAATGAAACATTGGTACGTATTTGCTTTTATAATATTCATAACATTGTCTTTAGTAAATGCATTTTATGAACTAAGTATTTTAGTGAATAACAAAATAAACTTATAAAAATTACTTTTTTAACTGAAATCATATATTTTAAATTTACTACTTTTCATTACAGTTGCAGAAAACAATAATTTATGTTTTACGTTGTATTAATTCTGTGATCCAGCTTATTGGAAAATAATTCCCTCCATCATTGTTTTACCATTCATACTTCCTGTATGGTTTAGTTAGTTAAATAATCTCTCTTTGTTGTTTTATCTTTCACAATTCCAATTTGATTTGATTAGCTAAATAATCTTCCATTGTTGTTTTACCTTTCATACTTCTTGCTTAGCTTATTAAACAAATGAATAATTTCCTTAATCATTGAGAAGTTAATATGTCAAAATATTGAGTTTTGTTTTGAACATGCATATAGGAAACTTTAGTGGTTGATGGGCATAACTAACCTACTTGGTCTACAGAGCCTGAAGCAAGTTTATAAAAAAATACTTGGTGACTGAATACATTTTGATAAGAAGAGTAATTGCTATCACACTATATTTTGTTTTTTTAACTCGGTCTTTCATTAGAAAAATATCGGGAAGTATAATCCACAGTTTTACCTAACACTTTAAAAAAATTTTCCCCTGAATATCTATTTAGTTGTTAACACACATCATTGAAATAAATGTTTTTCTATTAAGTTTATATATATTTTTATTTATTCTCTCTGTCAATCCTAACTTAGTTTCTATGTTTGTTCTTCTGTAAGTTCATTCATATTAGTGGCCAGACATGGCTGTCTGAGATCACATTTAATGTTAATGATAAAAAAAAACACTTTATGGTAACATTTTTTCTTGAAATGTTTTTAACCTTATGTTAACTGCAGGGTCAAAGTGAGCATGTTATGATCTTTTACAGAATTATACTCAAAATGTAATTAGATATATGTATTATTAATGTATGTTAATAAGCTTGGTGTCAAAATGTCCTTTATAAATCAAATTTTTATATTATAAAATTTTTTATTTCTTTATTTCAAAAGGAAGTATGTAAATAAATTCTCAGTCTGTGTCAAATGATGCATTTGTGCCTATTCTAGGTTTTCTTTCCACCCTTTTATGGGTTTCAGAGTGTTAAATTAATTAGAAATTCATACTACATTAATTGGCAAGCCAGAATATAAATTTAGACCATTCGATCCTCTTTCTTGAGTGAAATATATAACAAATGTCAAACGTACATGAGTTGCCCATTCTGTACCATTCTGTCTTTTAAAAAATGTCAGTAATTCTCTCTAACATTGTTTTTTGATTACTTATAACCAATAGAAAGAGCAGCTTTTTCTTTACAATATTCTTTATAAGGGTTATTTGTCTTGTTGCTCATAAGTAAATATTTGGTCTCAATTTCATTGTTTGCTCTCATAGTGTTCAGCTTAAAGCAGCTAATGAATTTGTTTAAACCTGTTTGTAGTTTAATTAGAAAGCCAATAAATTATAGTAGTTTGGGGACATTTTAGTATTGTGCCTTAAGTTTTTTATGTTCTAATATGCAATTTTCAAGTAAACATGAATTATTTTTGTGAACAATGAATATTGTCACAAAAAAGTAGACTTAGAGTGCCTTCCCCTTGACAACAAAAAGCTCAAGTCCATAAATAAGTACTGAATTTCTTGTTTTTTATAGGTATGTTTCATTTATCTCGATAAATGTGACTAAAGTATAAAAATTACAAACTTCTTAGATTAGATAAGAAAACTTAAATGAAAAAAATTAAATAAAAAGATTTATCAAGATAATCGACATCCTTACAATTGAGGCAACTACTCACACATAGGATAGTATGATTGTAACTCACTTTGTTTATTTACACGATTCTATCTTGCTGTGATAAATGCTTTTTGTGCTGTAGTAAATGGTTTTGGTGTACTCTGGGATCATCTAAGTACAGCTGTATAGCAATGAAATTAAATGAAACCAGATGTGAATAAAATAGTTTTACTGAAAAACTTTTGATATTCATTTAGGAGGTTCTGTAGGTTATTAAAATTAAATGTGAAAACTGTAAGATGAAAGGAAGTATTTTTATTAACATGAAAATCACCTTTCACTCAGACTCAGTAAAGGATTAGTAAATTCAAACAAATTTTTAGTAGAAATACTTTATTGAAACTTTATTGGCCATGGGTGCATTATAAGAGTGGTATCCAAATCTTGCTCTTTGGTCTGACAAGAGTTGGTAGTGAGTGGTGTTGACTACCTGTTTTTTTTATCATGTCTGTTATTTTGAGAATAGGGATGGATAGTGCATTTAGCTCTTGTGTAGTTTTGCTCAAAATCCAACAAAACAAATGATTTATGCATTGATTAATGCTCAATTTAATGGCATGTTTTATTTTTTGCTACACTTACAAATTGTTGATAGTAAGCATACTGACTTAATCAACAAGTATATGATAATACAAAGCTTTATTTCACAGTATATGAAGTTGTAATTTTGTTTTTTTGGTAAAATATCAAATGACAAAATAAAAATCAACATAATAATTGTATAATAAACAATTTAAATATGACCACTGGAATATATATATATTTTCCTCATTTTAATGTGTAAAACCCAAACATTAAGGTATAATATCTGTTTGAAGATTTTGAAGAAAACTTGCATATAAATAAATGAGATAAAACCAAGTTTTATTACTAGCACTTTAGTAATTTAATTTAATTGTTTAATTTAATTATTTAAATGTATTTAATTTTGTATCAGAAATTCTTAGAACTGTACCAACATGTTTAAAATGTCTCAGCAGTACTCATTTCTTATAATAAACATTCTTTTGATCTTGAATAAAATTTTAAAACCATATTGTTTCTTGTATGTGTGTATAGATCTTTTTCAAATGAAAAAACAAAATTAAGGATTTAATATGAATTGGTTTTATGTATTTATGCAATATTATGATATGTCAAAATGAGATTATTTTATTACAATGTTTATTAATTGTCATCAAGAAAGTACTGTTGTACAATATATTGCTTGAAAGTCACCAAAGTTTTGACTACTAACAGATTTTTTATTATCTTAGGAAATAGTGCAAGATAATTCACTTGCAAAAGCAGTTTTAACAATACAATGCATTAAACAGAAATATCAATTACAAAATATTGATGAACAAAGGCTTTGAAAACACTGGTTAAGTCTGATTTTGTTGTCAGGTGAGTGAGGAGATAAAAAATCTATTGTATTTATTATTCCTTTTCATCTCGCTCTAAAAAATAAGAATTTATTTTAATCTACATTCCTAAAGTTGAGTTATTGAGGTATATTTGAATTTGGGCACCTCTAGAAAATTTTATTTTAAATAATATTATGAATGCTTCTTTTTAATTTAAGGATGTGAAGAAAGGAGGAATACTCATGATGACAAAAGTGGAAGAAGGGGGAAAACGACTAAAGAAAAATTGGTCTTCATATTATGTGGCGTTAACAGATGTAGCATTGCTCTGTTACAAAGATGTCCAGTCAACAATTGTGGTAATGCACGTTTTAAACATTTCTATCTGATCACATAAAATTTAATTTTCTTATCTTGCTATATTATTTACCAAAAGTACATGTTAGTATTAGAAAAACTTGCTTGTCATAGATATTTATTATGAGAGTTCAATTTTCTTGCTTTCTTTAGTAACTGTTTGTGCTAAATCATGTTTTGTACCCATTGTCTTACACTTTAGCTTTAAAGTGTTGCATGTGTGCTTATATAAACAATGACTAAACATGGATAATGATGGTATCGGTAACTTTGTGAATTAACCAGATGCATGTAGAGGCTCATCAGATCCACTGATTTCATTTCTTCGTGCCATTTATGAATGCCATTTTCAGATTATGTGATGTATTGTTAGAAAATTGTGCAACGTGAGATAGCCATGTTTTACGGTGTTTGTCTTGGCTAGAAATTACTTATCTTTTGTTAGTCTAATTAAAATGCTGTGATGTTATTAATGTGATGGAGACAATACAAGTGAGGTCAAGATGCTTCATTCTTAGATTGGTAATATGCAGCAACATTTAATGATTTTGGATCTGTTTCTGCCACAGTAATCGTAGCCCTAATTTAACTAATGACTATGATACGTTTACCAGCCAAGAAAACAATAGAAAAAAAAACACCATAAAATATAAATTTTTCTCTTTGTTATTTATATGTAGAGCAATATTACTAAAATGTTTTTATTAAACAATAGATTAGAAAAAAAGGCTGCATTGGTATTTTACAAATTTTGCATAAGAAAAATCATGTGTTATAACTGGGGTTTCTTTTTAAATTGTAGATGTATTTAAATTTTTGGTTGTGAACCAAGTTTTAAAGCATAATAGGTTAAATTACTTTTGTACTGTATTGAATTTAGTGTTTTTAATCAAATTATTTTTGGGGCTGATGCTCATTTGATGGTGTATTTATATGTAGTAAAAGTTGTTTTGTATTTAAGAGCACAGTCTTTTACTTTGTGACCTACTTAAAGTCGTATATCAGTTGTTTGTTTGTAGTATGTCCAGACAATTGAATCACTGTTTAAGAGTTAAAATGGAAGAAAATGTTTATAAAAAAACACTGTAGCTTTCTCAGTATTGTGGTATAACAGGCTTGTCGTGGTTAAATGAAAATTCATGATAGTTTTGTTTCTTTGTCTTTCCTATTTGAAGAGCCTTCTTTTTAAATGTTAAGTTCAAATTACACAAGTTGAATATACAATGAACATACTGAGACAGATACTATAAACACCAAAGTTAACATTATGAAGTTTTAGTAACTTTTGTTAGTCTGTTTATAGTAAAAGCATGAAAGCAAAAGCCAGGTTAAATCAATTTTGAATAAAGAAAACTTCTACTTGATGGTTTGATATTGTTACATAAGCCTTATGCAAAGAGTAATTAGTTAATATATATCATAACAGGTAGTTTGTTGTAATGAGTGTTTTGATGTCAAACTGTTGTAGATGTATCAAGTAATATCATCAAATACCAACCATATCAGCTAAATGAATAATCTTAAATGTCTTCTTCACATAACATATCTGTGTATGATAGAAATTTTTACCAATATCTATAATTTCACATGTATGATTGCAGAGAGATATTTCAACAATTGTTTTTTTTTTGGGGCTTTATTTTATAGGCTCTGAAGGATTGCAAGGCAGAAAGTTGTGTGAATTTAGCAGGTGCTGCCATTTATTGGTGTCCAGAAAAATCATCAAAGAAAAATGTATTCCTGGTAAGTTAAGTAATAATATATATTTCTTTTCAAACATATTTTATGAAAAACGAAGACCTATTTAATCTGTTTTAGAACAACTAGTATGTCATCATATAAAAATACTTTTTTTTTAGATATTAGTGATTAATTTATTTTTGTGAGTGAATATTTTATTATTGTTTAGTTTTTGTTATAATAAGAGTTAAAAGCAGATGATTGTAGGAGTTTTGTTAATAATTGATTGACATTGAGATTTCTAGAAGGCCAGATGATTAAGTGATAAAAATATAAATAGTGTGAGATGAGTGGGAAGCAACAGACAGAAGCAGAGAGATAACAGCAAAAGAGAATATAGTTGGTGTGAAGTTAACTACCATAGAAGTGATAGGCCTAACAATTGACATAGGCCTAATGTTTAATATCTTAGAGGAAGACAAACAGTAGAAAAGAAGATAAGAAAAATAATTTTATTTCATCAAAGCGTGGTTCTAAAGTAATTGAATCAGCTTTAGTGCACTTTGACAAAAGGAACAGAGGATCTTTAAAAAAAAGAAGACTAAACGATTATGGTCATTCGCAACACAATTGTAAGTGAATACTTACACAGTGAATACTAGTGCGATAGAAATAGAGAAGGTAGTTCGGTTTGTAAACTGAAATTCTAAAGTAATTGAATAGGCCTAAGTGGATATTTGACCAGGAGGAGAGAACTACATATATAGTATTTATATGTCCATAATATCTATAGTGTTGAAGAATTTATTGTACATACATTAACTTGTTCTGAATATATATGTATATATTGAAAACAAGTGAAGTGCGTGTTGTTTATTCATCGTTGAATTTATTGCTAACAAGTCACAGACACCTACTGTAGAAGATTCCTAAGCCCAACAACAACATAGTATATATTTATACTATTAAGAAATATAATTAAAAGCCTTTCTATTTGACAATTGGCAAAAAAGAAAGTTGTATACATATATTTTATTTTAAATTCTGACATAATATATTATTATTTTCATAACACTAAACAAACCCCTCAACTATACTTCTTAATATTACTTTTATCTACAGATTACTACTATCTTGGGACAGAAAATACTATTCCAGGATGACAGTTTCCAAATTACTGCTGAATGGTATCAAGCAATTCAAGCTGTAATATCTAAACTAGTAAGTCAGTATTTTGGTTGGAAGATGTAATTATTAGATTTCTTGTTTGTAATACATCCCTTAGTTTTCTTGTCTTTTCTTTTTTTTTGTATCATTGTTGATTTTAAAGTACTTTATTGTTCTGATATTTCTGTATAAAATAGTAGAGAGTACTGTAATAATTGTTATTTTTAGTTATTTGTCGTCTTTTACTTTTATTGAATCTTTAAAGTCTTTCAACAACAAAAAGGCAAAAATTTTACTTGAATGATTCATGGACTTACAATGCATCAAGTTCACGTTATTTCTGCTCTTCCTCAGTTTACCATGTTAGTCTAGAATAAATAGTGAATTTTATGCCTTGAGTTACACTTGGATGAACATTACCCTTTAATTTAAAGGAATTTGAGAAAAAGAACAGGAAAAAGAGGTAGTCATTACAAGTAATAGGAAGCTGCAGTAAACACAAGGGAACAAAAGAAATACAGAAATTGTGGAAAACTGATGAGTACAATTGCCCTGTAACTCATCAAAACAAAAGGTTAAAGGAAAAAGCTTTTGTATTTGCATTATTATGAAGAAAAAATAAAAATTCATTAATAAAATGTAACTATTTTATAGCCATCATCTGAAAGCTTGAAGTGTGATGAAATTGTACCAGATGAAGTAAAAGAAAATCTCAAAAGTGAACCCAAGAAAAAAAACAGATTTCTTCCTTCTAGATCACCAAAATGCAAGTTAAAGTTTTTTGTCTTTGGTTAATTTTTTTAATGAATATTTTCAGAAATTTTCCACAGACCTTACATGTTATGAGAAACCAAAGCATGAGAATACAAACAAGATAGTTAAATATTTTATTATCTCAACAACTGTAGAGAAAATCAGATTAAATTTTGTTTGATCAAACCATAATTACAAAATGGTAAACATAAATTAAATCTATGGTTATATTAAAATTATTCAGTTATGCCTACTTATGCAGTTTAAAGCATACATAATTGTTTATAACATACAATGTTTGAAGTATATGTGATCTAATTAAAAAGAAAAGTTGTTTCAGGTAGAAGCAATGGCCTTCAGAACATAGTTTGAAACCATATTAACAGAAGGATATTTTTTTAAAGTAAACTATTCCATTGTTCCCTTTGCTTATATTTGTCTCTATTGTTTTTTTTTTTTTGTATATTACTCATAATTATTTTTTCTAAAAATTACTTACTGGTTGTAGTAAAATGGCTTTAGAACCCAAAAATATACTGAATTTAAGTTTATGTAATCATTTCTGTTCAATATATCATGCAAGTATACTGTGAAGTTTTTCTGTCTGGTGACCAGTTTTTAGTAATGAATTCAAACCTTCAAGTGTCCATGTTATAAAGTTACAGAATGTGCAGCTGACCTTGAATTTGATAATATGTAAATTACTATTTTTCTTCAAGATTAACTTGTTCTATGTGTGTTCATAGTGAAGCAAAAATTACTTACTGTTTTTAAAGCTTTTATTGAAATTACATATTCAACACTAAAGATACATGCTTTCTAACATTATTTCATTTTTGACAAACCCATTGGGAGATGCACTCAGGTAACCAACTTTATCCACAAAAAAACATAAAGATCTCTTATTATTTTACAGCTTTCCTCTCATTTAGTTTACCATGTTCTGTTGCTTTATTTATGATGTTCGACGAATACAGAATTCTCTTTACTGTATTGGTGCAAGAATCTATTTCTGTTATGTTATAAATGACTCCAAAATTAGAAGTAGTAAAACAGTATTTTCTGCATTCCATCCATTTCAGGTTATCAACTTGACCTTTATTTTATAACCCTATTTTTGTTGTTCTTTGGTCACTTTAATATTCAATGAAAATTCAAGTAACATCTGCCAAAGGACAGTACCTAAAGGGAAGGTACTCAAGATGCCACTGTGAGAGATGCTTTGTTTATTGTTGAAATTTATCACCAATAAATCACGGACACCTGCTTTAAAGAATCCAGACTATACATAAAGCCCGATGCTTACCAGCCTTGTTCCAGTGAAATATTTTAATGTTATAATGCAATTAGAGATCATGTAATTTTTGTTAACCTTTTAAAACCATTATAAGGGATTGTTTTTGTCCTTTACAAAAATCTGCTCATATGTACAATGTTTCATACAATTTGATTCTGTAGTTTTATGAAAGAATTTCCTGAAAATATCCTAGCATTTTGTAATTGTTTTCCAAGAACTCCTGGAAAATTTTCATTTGGAAGTGTGGAACTGTGAAAGTGGTTAATTTCATAAATTTTTCTCCACAAATTGTTTTTGTTTTGTTTTCTAATATCTGTCATACATTTGTGGTTGTTTTGATACATCAGATTGTCATATCAATTACTGAAAGACAGTTTATGAATTTGTTTGTGGAAAAGAAAAGTTAGTTTAGCATTTGTACTTGATTTATGTAAAGTGCTCATGTTAGAAATGTGTTGCTTTCCAGTGGATCAGATAAAAGAAACAAATGAAAGTGTTTTTAAAAGTTCTGGAGAGAAAAAAAAGATCCATAACAAACTTCGAAACTTTTTCAACAAACGTCCATCCATGGAAAGTTTAAAGAAAAAAGGAATTTTGAAAGGTGAGTAGACTTTATTTCTGCATATGGTAGTATAATATTTCAATTACATATCTGGGAGATTGTGTAGAAATATTTCAAAATCTTGAGTATAATATGTGGCATATAGAACTGAAACTAGTTCTGAATAAATATATGACTTAAAACAATGCTTTAAAATATAAAAAGATATATATATATATAAGAATAAAAACAGTAGAAATCATGAACTTTGTGTTCCTAGACCTCAAGTCATCCTATTTCTGAAATTTTCTTAAATCTTCAAAAATATGTTTCTTAGAAACATTTATTCCATTCCACTATTTTAAGTAAATACAGCATAGATTTCTAAAGAAATTCTCATTAGAGAAATATTGTTTTATAAGAAAAACCTTTTTTATTATTATTGTGTGTTTTTCACTTCTGTTTGTGCAAAGACAGCTAAACATTCATAAAAATGTATTGAATTTTGAAAATTTGAGATAGTAAAAATATGAAGTTTGAGACATCAACATGGTATTTGTATAAGAAACATTACCCACATTAAGTAATTTAGATTTTTTATCTTTCTTCAGGAATGTTATCTTTGACAAAGAGGATAGTTCTTTATACTTTATATATTGCTGTTGACCAGTTAATATTTAGTGTCTCTCAGCAGCATCAGATTTATTGTGATTTTTCTTCAGGAATGTTAGCCTATACAAAGATGATGGCTCTTTAGGCTTCATACCCTACCATCGACCAGTTAAGAAGTAGTGATCATACCATCATCAGATTTATTGTGATTTTTCTTCAGGAATGTTAGCCTATACAAAGATGATGGCTCTTTAGGCTTCATACCTTACCATCAACCAGTTAAGAAGTAGTGATCATACCATCATCAGATTTATTGTGATTTTTCTTCAAGAATTTTTTATTGACAAAGATGATAGTTCATGGTGTTAGAAAAACATGTAGGTTCAAGAAGTCTTGATAGAAATGAATAAATACCCTATAACCAATGTATAACTATAGCCAATATAAAGTGGTTTCACATTATTATTGGTTAATCTTTCTTTATTTTCATAGAACAAGGTTTTTCTTGCTTTGAGATGGCAATTTGTAATGAAATGTTGTGGAAAAAGTAGTTCTTTGAAAATAGAAAAGATATTTTTAATTTCATGTTCAAGCATTGTTGGGTGGCATATTCTATATGCTCTAAGAAAAAATGAAGAAATAATAGATGTTTTGGCCCGTTTATGGTGGCACGAAAAGAAGTGAACATGACTGGTAGAGTTAGTCCTATACTAATATAAAACTTATATTAGCATATGGTGTGTGTATTGTTATCACATATTCTGTAGTTGGATGGGTTCTTTTGGATTACTTGGTGAAAATAATGTGGAGTCCAGTCCAAGTAACAATAGATTTAGGCTTCATACATCACTATCGACTAGTTAAGAAGTAGTGATCATACCATCATCAGATTTATTGAGATTTTTCTTCAGAGGATTCATTGAAGGTATGAAGGTTTAACTTTCAGTACAGTGCTTCAAGTAATATTTAAAAAAACGTATTAAAACTAGCTTGCAAGTACAAAACTTGCAGAATTTCAGTTACACTCTTTAACCCTCATTGTTTTATTGACACTGAACTAACCCAGTCATTCACTCACTGAATACTTCACTCATTGTTTTACTTACTAATTCACTGTTTATGATTTTTGTATTTATATCATGCTCATTTTCTGCTTACTACACAAAACTTCCAGATTTGTTTCTTCAGTGAAATTTCTAAGTAAATAAACCATCTAGTAAATAAACATCCAAATCAAAATATTATAAATACACCTTAAAACAGTATATTTTTTTTTCACTTTTATATACACTATATGTTCTTGCTTTGAAAAGTAAAATCATGATAGCAAAAATATAGTCTTGTCATACTCTCTCTCTCTCTGTCTTTTTGCCAAAGACTATACTGATTGATTATTCTAGTTAAGTTTAAATAAATAATTATTTCTGAACAGATGAACCAGTATTTGGCTACAGTCTACAAAGTTTGTGTGAAAGAGAGAAAACCAACATTCCCAATTTTGTTCAGAGATGCATTGAACAAATTGAACAGTTTGGTAAGTTACTTGTTTTAAATCATAATTTCACTAGAAAAGTGCCCATTACTGATGTTCTGATCTGATAAATTCTAATAACTGTTATTTCCTAAATATTTTTTGTCCTATTAAGTTTAGTAATAAATGCATTAAAAGTTGAACCACAGTGCATCATTTTCTCTGACTTATTGTGCAAGACTGGTTTTGGAAACAAAAAAGTTTTGTTGATTTAACATTTCATATTTCATAATCCCAATTATATTTGTATGAAATGCACAGAAGAATACAAGTTGAATAGAAAACCTTCCCTGTCTTCCAGTGAAACCATCAAAAGTGAGGATGACTAGATACTTTTTTAAAATTGATTATGTAAAAGAGATGGTTGGAGTATGTGAGAAAATGTTATGATGATACCAGGAAAGAGGAACTAGCCCATAATTGGTAGAACCAGCTAATAATGGTCCACTAATTCTGGAAAGTGAAGTACAGGAATTCATTAGAAATTTTAAAAAAAATAAAAATGTGGGACATAGATGATATTCCAGTAATATTTCTGAAGACAATGGAATTCCATTAGAAGTTTTAAAAAAAATGAAAAAATGTGGGACATAGATGATATTCCAGCAATATTTCTGAAGACAATGGATGCTTTAGGG